TGCGTAGACATCAGCCTTCTATGTTAATTTCATCAATTAATTATCGATCAGCTACTGATATAGATCAGCACCAGTCACAATTTAGTTGCGAAATTACGTGAATTTACTTGGCCTTGACACTGCAAATAACACTCTTAACCCACAGCCACTGGCGTTGAAAAATTTACCGAAAACTTTGACTCCTGTGAAAGATCATTAGTTGTATTACTTGACGTGCGTGCTTATACAATTCATATTGATAATAATTAGCATAACGCGTATGCCGACCGTTTTGTAATGGACTGAGGCGAGTCTCGTTGCATATTACAGTGACATAACTAGGTTACGGTTATTTTTTTGAGGTGAACGAGCTGTCTATAATAATCAATCTATCTTTTAGAGATTCCGTCGCAAGGTGGTAGGTGGCTTTGGGCGGCAGTATATATTCCTAGTTTAATATTAATGAATAATATTTTAGAACTCCAATTAGTTCTTCAAATTATTGTTTTTTTGTAATATCTGAATGAGGATTAATTTATCTTGCCACCGCCTCTATCATTCGTATTTATGCGTTTATAATATGAGTAACCCTGATGTTTGTCCACAATATAACGTGCCTATAAATATTAACGGAATTTACATTTTATTACTTGTAGTTATTTATGAATTATTCTTATTCTTTTTGGAAATCAATCGACCCAGATTCCCTTGCAAAGAAACATAACCAAGGCCGGAATGTAGCGCTCAAATGATTATATTTCTATTCATATCTATTTACTAAGAAGGTCTGTGTCTTAGTTAATGTTTTTTTAAATCTTTATTAATATTTAATCATAAACGATAGAAAAGAAGTCTTAAATATCCAAAATAAATTATTACATACAAATTAAAAAATTTTATTTTATTTAGTTTTATTTTTAATAAAATTTACAAATTTTATTGTTTTTTTAACATTTATATTGATACTGACGACCAATAATAATAATTAATCGATATAAAATAGATATAAAACATGAACAATTAATGTTTTATATCTTTATTCTATTTCAAACTATTCATCAGTGCCGTCGAATAAATCCGGTAACCTGTCAATTAAACAGAGCCGCGCACAATGTAAAGAACCTTACGAAAAAGAATTTCGAGCAAACATGAACGGTCGTTTGTTTAAAAAGGTAATTTTTGATTAAAAAATGTCTTATAAATATCTCGATTTTATATTTGCCTAGATTTCGTAAATCGTATCGACGACAATACTTGTTATTATTAAAATATCATATTATTGTGTTTTATCTGAGTTTTAGTAAAATTTGTATAATTCCAAAGTATTATGTCTGATTTAGCATCTTGGAAGGTAGTAAACATAAGTTGAATTAATTTGGTGTAATGGATGATTAGATGAAAGAGATATTGGCGTAAAGTTATTTTTTTAGTTTATACCAAGAATGTGATGCTACGTTATACAACGGTTTTTTAATCATATATATTCGGAGAGACAGTAACTTAAACAGCGATGAGACAAAATTAATATCGTATAGACCGGTTTGCTAAAACGGCGCATTTGAAACAAATTACAGTTTATTAAACCACATGATAAATTATTCAAGTGAGAGCCTTATACCGTGTTATTTCTTGTGTTAATTTTCATACGTTATCAATTGATAGTAGTTAAAACGGACACACAGTTTTTTATCTAAGTGATAAACGTACCAATTAGATGAGTAGGATGATGTTTATCCAAGTGAAATTGCCATTAGCGAAGACAAGAATATCTTCTTGTTTAAGTAGATTTCACTTCACACCATCGTTTCTTGGAGTATTCAACACCCCTACACTAAAAATTATTAATTGCACATCGTGTGTTATGTTTCTTTAGTATGTCATTCTTGGTAACTGGTTTAAAAATAATTATTTTATAGTATTTTGCTTAACCTCAATGATAATACGAATGATTTGCGTATAACTTTATAATTTTCTTTACCCAAAAAACTTATTATTGGCAGCTTAGAAATGAAAATTTACTAATTTTCTGTTGGAATATCTTACAAATCCAAACTTAATAATGCCATTTAAATAATTTTTTCTATTTTATTCTAATATTGAAATCAAAATAATCTATATAAACAGACATCATATTTAAATTAATTTAAATCTTTATCTATTACAACACTTATAACTAGACCAATGTATTATGAAATTCAACTAATATAATTCAACTCAAGTTTGACACAATTTTTAAAACTAAACATGTGAAAGGTTTTGTAATCCATTAAGTTTATAATTAAAAATTTAAGTAATTTTTAAAAACTGATATCGGAAATTCAAATTTTTTTACATGATTTTTAGTGTAGGAAGAAACAAGAAACACATATTTCAGTCAATACTATTTATGAATAAAATTGCGCATGAGAAATATAAATAAAGATATCTTCTCATCAAAAGCCCCGAAGTACTTTGCGCTAGTGTGAACCTAACACATGTAAATTATCTTGTCCACAAGTGTTCAGTAAGACAATAATGACTAGCTGGGGTCAATATGTCATTCGACGTATCGTGGATAACGGCCGAACACATGCATGGCCACGACTATAATAATAATAATCATAGTAATAATAATAATAATTATTATTGTTGTTATTATCAATGCAGAACAGTGTTAAATAAAAAAAAACACACCCAAATCGCGGATAAATCGCCCTTGACATGATTATTAATAGTCTCACGATATTATGATATTTACTTAATGTGTTTACGAGGTGTGTACTTTATTGTTTAATTTTGTAGCCGGTGAAAATTCTGTGTATGATATTTGTTTAAAGAATCGATGTAAATATCTATACATTTTTAAATTAATCTAGGTGATCAAACTATTAAGAGAAAGTAAAATAAAACATTTTCAAAAACTCATTGTTTTCTGGTATTATTATGATAAAACTAATGAGCTAGACAATAAATAGTGTATTTTTTTCATTGCTTATTTTAAAATTGTCATTAACAGATCACTTTATGTTTCTCAGTAATGGTATACTGCATCAGTTGATGGTCAAGTCCATTAACTTAAAATAAACGGATAATAATGCAATAAGAAATTTCATTAATGCTAAAAATTTACAAATGGATTTGTGTGCTGAAAATATGCGCAAAGTGGATCCAAAATTTCAGCCGAAATAATTAAACAGAGTCAATATATCCAGTGCTTTTTCATTGATTCAATATTAAATTAATAAATGTAGAAGTCATTCTGCATTTTAATCAATAATCCAGATTTAGCGTTAAGTGCTATTACTGTATTTATTTTTATTTTTTTTTTGTCTTAAAGATCATCTTTAAGTATAGAATTCTGTCCTGATTCGAAAGTTTTGTGTTATTGTAATGCTAAAAATGAAAAAAAAAAAAATGTTTTTGACGGCATACCAAAAATTAAATTGAACTCAGTAAAATGATTGGCCTAAAAAGAGACTTCTTAAATAATGATAATATACAAATTAAATGTGTTTAATTGTCTACACACATGTTTTAGATTTATAAGTTTACGTTTATTACTTTTAAAATTATACCCAAAAATGCTTTACTTTTCAACCTACTCTCGTAGATTTGAGTCATTCTTTTATCAATTTATATTCAATTTTATTATTAAATATTTTTGGTAATGTGATTCTATCGCCGAAAAATTACTGACGCTAATAATATAATTATCATGGCTCAAATGAAAATTAAACGTAACAATTTGAAAAAAAATTAATTTTTATAAATATGTACACATATTTTTATTTTGCAACATAATTTATAAATTCTACATTATATAACAATATATGAAATATCTAATATCAAAAATGAAAGTACTTATCCTATATTCAATGCAACTGGTTGCATTGAAAAGGTTGAAAGCTATACCAAATATAGTTGCCCAAAAATGTGGTTTGACATTTTTTATCATTCATTTTTTGATTATCAAACGTTGACGAGCCACTTTTTATTGTTCTTTGATCCGAAATTATTACATATATGAAAACAATGATACAGGGAACTTTTACGGTATTGTATTATTTGGAAAACAATAACTAAACAAACAAGAGTATCAATGTCAAACTCTGTAGGTATTTTTAAATGATGTAACTCATAACTGTAGTTATTCGGTTAATATACATAAATTTGATTGGATATTTGGTTATGTTAGGAGTCAAAGATCAAATAAAGCCATTAAAAAACAAGTAGTCCGTGTTGCAATTTAGAGTCTTGTGGACGGATAATAGATATGTGGGGAAGTATATTGCTTGTAGTTTTCTATGAGCAGCAGTAAAAAATTTTAAATTAAATTATCTTGGACGGCAGATTTGTGTAGGTTTTTGTTAAAACTTAAATGGAAAGTTTTCGTTATAAAATAACTAGTATCTAAACTTTATTTAAATATTGCGCCATCTGCTATGTGGAGAAATTTTCGGAGAAAAGTATTTTAAAGGAATCTATCGTATTTATTAGTCAGAAGTTGTTTATGTCATGTGCTAGATGTAACAACCATAAATTAAGAGCATAAAAAATTCCTAACTTATAATGGAATTACTATTTATTTAATTTGTAAAAGACGTCTTATGTTAAATGCAAACTAAATTAAAAAAATTTAACGAGTTTGGACAAAAATAGTAAAAGTTTATATGATATGCTACGTAATATTTCAGTAGTAATAATTAGTTAAGAAAAGTTGTCTAGCATAATAATTTAAAAATATGTATTATCCAGCTCTGGTAAAAAACTAAGCGAAACGTGTTGTTTTGTTAGTTTTGGTTAGGTATTTTGTATGCAAAGTAGTGAATATATTGTAGATTATATCTGTTGACTTAGACTCATGTATGATACAATAAAAGTAAACCAAATATATAATACACTGTATAGTTCGTATGTAAATGTAAGATATTGTAACTAATGCTATTAGAAATACTCTTTATTTTATATTTAAAAAATAAATAATTAAAATCACTCTAACGTTGTTACAATCATTAACTAATAACATGTACTTCATTTTATAGATGACGCTGAACACCAATGTAGCCATTTTACTGGCAGCAGGTTTATTCTGCTCAGCTTCTGCCATATACCATCATTCACCATATTATCAATCTCACGACCCATACGCCGTAAACAATCACTCCGGTACGTTCAAATGAAATTTTATTCGATCCTTTATTTGATACATACATTCTTGAAATTTTAGGATATCATCCACAAGCGTCCTATGGTCATTCCTACCAAGCACCTCATGGTGCTGGTTTCCGTCAGCTAACACCAAACGGTTTGGGATCACGTCCAGGACCCAACAAGTATGCACTTTTAATCCTTAATTTTTAAACTCATGATAACTAATTATTTTTTACAGTTTTGGTGAAATATCCACTCCACCCCAAGGAGCCGGATGTTTACCACCGGTTGGTCCTTGTCCTAATAGCAAATACAGAACCATTGATGGATCCTGTAACAACTTGAGATATACCAATTGGGGAACACCAAATTCTAAATACGCCCGTTTGTTACCACCTAGATACTCCGATGGTAATTGGTTAAAATTTTTATTGAATTAATTAATTATGAATTTACAAAGTATGATTGTTAAAAATAGGTATCCACGCGCCTCCAACATCCCTTACTGGTGAACCATTGCCCAGTTCTCGTCTTGTCAGTATTGTTATGTTCCCAGACGTTCCCATTCCTGATCCAGTCTGGACATTGATTACCATGACATGGGGTCAAATTGTTACTCACGACATGTCCATGTCTATGGGTACTACTCAAGCAAGTAAGTGTCCGCAAGAAATATAAACTAAAAATACTGCGCTTGTAGTTTATCACTATTAACGGAACACTTTTTTCGCCCTATGACTAACTATGCGAACTTAATGAATAGTGTTTTAATATTTGATTATGTAAGTCATCATCAGGCTAAGGTGAAAGTAATTCTTTGACGTGTACATACGATTCCCATGTACCTTACATGGTGATGACATTAAGGAGCATATGGATAGATGTGTTAGCGATACTTTTTATAATTATTTTGATCTTATAGTTATTTAGTACAGTTTGCCTATAGCATTTCACTATGGATACATATATATTTTTATGACAAACCGGTCGCCAATTATTTTTCTTTGAAAAAATCATACATATTACGCCTTGGGCAAAGATGATACTCTATGGGTCATTCTACAGAATTTTTTACTTGGATACGCAATACTGTAAACATTTAATTTTTATGTAACGTAACTGAGTAAACTAATATGACTAAAAAGTTTTGAGACTTGCAAAACTAAGAGAAAATTCTAGTTGTGCGTATTAATGTTATCGTATTATTATTATCATCATCATTTTTTTGAATCCGAATTGTTTGTTTAACAAAAGGAAGAGTTTTTGGTATGAGTGTGCATGTGTTTTTTCGTTGAACACTCTTCTTTACTGGTTTTATGAATATCACACACAGTGTACTGCACGAGTATGTCAAACAACAATAACACTCGCAAGCGGGTAATAGCGATTTCGTGACTATTATTTTATATCTTGGTAGTGTTTTAGAGCGTCCATCGTCACGTTAGATTATATTACATCGTAACGGCACCAATGAGTTAAATGTTATGCGTATAAACCGAAATCTTATGGTTGTATTATACTCATCTGAGTATCATGTCAAATAAGATTACGCGTATTATATCATTATTGTGCATATTACACGTGACAGCCACTTTCAAAATAATAAGGTTTATAGTCCTTATAATATTTGTAGTTATTAATGGTACTATATCATGGCTAAAAGTATATTACAGGCAATTAAGGAAAATAATATTTAAATTAAATTATATTTCGTGTTTTCCGTGTGTTAGAATTGAATTTTAATCTCGATTATGAAATATAATTTGTTAACACTTTTATGAGTGGTTTACATCACAGGTTTGTGTCATTAATAGGCGTTTAAATTATTATAATTACTGTGATTTTGATTTTAATGCCACGGAATGTTGAAAAAATATTTTTTTTCACCCAATAGAACGTCATTCCATCAGATGTTGTGATGACAATGGCCGTTTGTTAAGCAACAACCCAGACGTTCACTGTTTCCCCATCACCATCCCCGAAGACGACCCAGTTTTCTCCAAATTCAATAGAGAATGCATGAACTTTGTTAGATCAACCACCGATTTAGAAACTGGATGTAATGCTGGAAACCAACCCGCCGAACAAGTAAATTAATCATATTTCATATTAAATGACACCTGATCAATAAAAAACTATTATAATTAAAACTAAAAATTCTCTGTGCTATTTTGATATTGTGAAAATATAATGGACGTTTACAGTTAGTCGTCGTATCCCACTGGATGGATGCTTCTTTCGTATATGGCTCAAGCCAAAGATTAGCTGACAATCTTCGTGAAGGTATTGGTGGAAGATTGAGAGTTGAATTCAGAGATGGAAGACCATGGCCACCAGCAGCAGCTAACAAGAGTGCCGTATGTGATCAACAAACGGATGAAGAACCATGCTACCAATTCGGTTAGTGCGCAAAACGCTAAATTATTTTATATAAATTATAATATATCATTGTGTTATACATTTTTAGGTGACCGAAGAGCAAATCAAAATCCACAACTGACTGTTTTGCAAATACTTTTACTCAGAGAACATAACCGTATTGCTACAGTTTTGTCGCATGTTAATCCTCATTGGGACGATGAAACCCTTTATCAAGAAGCCAGAAGAGTCCTTATCGCAGAATTCCAACACATCAACTACCACGAATGGCTTCCAATCATCTTAGGAACCGAAAATATGTTGAAATACGGTTTGTTGTACAAGAATAAAGGTTACACCAACGATTACAAGGAAAATGTCGATCCAAGTGTTATTAACGCTCATGCTCACGCTGCTTTTAGATACTTCCATTCGTCCATTCAAGGACAATTCCAGTAATTATTAGTTACGAATTGATTTTAATTATAAATAAAATGTGTGTTTCATTTTAGTTTGATCGGGGAAGATCGTAACTTACTAAGTGCTGTCAGATTATCTGACTACTTTAACAGGCCTACCATCATTGAACAAGGGTACAACTTTGACCATTTGACCAGAGGTTTAGCTACACAAAGCCAAGAAGAAGTTGATCCATTCTTCACCAGTGAAGTATGTTCATGTTACTTTATTTATTTAATTTATATGTCATATAAAGATTAAAATTTGGCTTTTTGTTAAATAACAATAATTAAATTTATTTAATTATTAAACAGATCACTGACTTCTTATTCCGTAACGGTCGTCCATTTGGTCGCGATTTGAGAGCTATTGATGTGCAGAGAGGTCGTGACCATGGTCTTGCCTCCTACAATGACTACAGAGAATTCTGTGGTTTACCAAGAGCACATAAATTCGAAGACTTCTCCGACTATATTGATGTTGAAGTAATTTTTAACTTTTAACTAATTTAACATTTTACGTTTTTAATAAAAAAACTTGATCTTAAGCGTATTGAAAAACTTGCACTGCTTTACAACCATCCTGATGATGTGGATCTCAGTGTTGGAGGTTCTTTAGAAGCTCACGTACCAAACACATTAGCTGGACCTACTTTCTTGTGCTTATTGACTGAACAATTCTACAGAACTAGAGTATCTGATCGTTACTTCTACGAATTGGGTGGACAACCAGGTTCATTCTCACCAGGTAAAATTTAGGGGTTCCTGTTTACATATAATAAATTAAATACTATTAGAGTTAACACATATGATTATAATTCATGCATACTTCGTAATGTCAAAAAAATAAACAAAATAATTCTAAAAAAATATTTTACTAAAAAGTAAAATATCTTAAATTGAATTTATATTATACTACAAATTATTGTTTACACTGAGAAGACTGGTTGTAGGTTAATCAATGAAGAACAAGAAATTTAAAAATATATTTAGTTATTATATTTTTTAATACATTTTTTATTTACTAGAACAACTTAATGAAATCCGCAAATCTAGTTTATCAAGAATTTTCTGCGACAACAGTGACGATATACACACAATTCAAGCTCAAGGATTCTTGAAGATTTCTGACAAGTGAGAAACGCTTCTTTTTAATATGTATATTTTTTTACTATTAGTCCATACCAAACTAAAGCAATATATTATCACAATTATACATTATGATAATAACACCATAGCTGAGGAAACTNCATTATGATAATAACATCATAGCTGAGGAAACCAATAAGGGTATGACAATATAAATGATAAAATTATTATTTTTTAGAAACCCATTGGTATCATGTAATGATTATGATAGAATCCCATCAATTGACCTCAACTTCTGGAAAGAAGAATCTTATGGTCATGCTGCTCCACAATATGGAGGTTATGTTGATAGTTACAAGAAGAAATAAAAAAGACCAACGATAATGATTAAAAAGTGTAAATAATAGTATTGATTGTCTTCTATAAGTGTTCTGTCGTTTCTATTTTTCTATCTTTTGATATTTCTTAACACTGTATAAATTTCTAAGATGATCAATCATTTTTTTTAAAATGCTCAAACCATTATATTATGTATAATTATAATTTAATTGAAATATTGTTTGATGTTATTCATATGAATATTAAGTATTATGTAAAATATAAGTATATTTTTTTACTTATGTCATTAATTAGTATAATAAGTAATGTAATCTGGATTAAAGTTAGCCAATACCAATTATGTTATTTATACAGTTTCCACTATATATTATACATATATACAAGAAATGATGTTCATATTATTTCTTACAAATAAATTATTCATACAAATTACACAAATATCAAATCTATTTATGTATTTACCAATATTTTGAATATAATGTATATTTTCTTATCCATAGCTATACTCATATTTCATTTTTAATGTAAATAATCATATTTATAATTATAAACTTTATCTATTAATAACAACCAAATCTGTATTATACATTAATGGAAAAATAAAGTTTTATTATGAAATATTGACAGCATGTTTTTACATTTTTTTAGAATTATTAAACATGTTCTTGGCAAATGATTCATAAACTGAATTACTTCCAATGTAATTTCCAGTAATCATATTTTCAAATATAGGTTTTAATGAAGCCTGAGACTCTCTGACTAATATTTCAGCTACAGTCATCTATAACATATAAAATAAATTATACCATATCAAATTATATTAGTTTTTTGAAGAATTTACCTCTAGATCTGAAAATCGTATTCCAGTACAATATGCTCTTGATGCTCTACCAATTACTGCTGTCATAGCGTATATGTACATGATTGTTTTGGACATCATTTCCAATAATAGTTTATTTTCAACATTAAATTGGTTGTTATTACGACTAGTTTCAATCGCATATTGAAATTTCAGTACACAGTATTCAAGAGCATTAGCAGAGTGCTAAAAATACATATTTTTAAAAATGTATAAACAGATTTTTTCAACTATATTACCTTAAGAGCAGGATGTAAAAATTGTTGAAAACCATATGTTAAACTAGGGTCATCTTTTTTCATCATCATATTTCTATAAGCTGAAACTAAAAATGATACATTTTCTTTATAGTCTGATTTATTTGAGTACTCAATTCCTCGACTACTAATAAACTCTGATAACTCAATACTATTTTTTAAATGTAAAACTAATTTTTCGATATCATTACAACAAGTTAAAAATGGTTCTTTAATAGAGTTTCTACCATAAACAGTTTTTAAATCTCTTAATATTGTATTGGCAGTTTGACGCGAAAACATTTCTATTGTCGCTGTTTCTAACTCAACATCTGGATTATCATATCCATCAATCATCCATGTAGTTAGATAAATCATACTTTCAATACTATAAATATTTACTAATGAATTTGCTACTATTTTTAATACAGAATCATAATGTCTTAATTTATCACCATGCCTTTCTTTTGTTAATATGTTATTAATAGTTTTTTGCAGTGCATTTTTTAATGATTTATTTAAGGAAGAACATGTATACAATTTTCCTTTATTTGTAATGTCTTTCATATTAACATTCTCTATGATGTTTTCAGCTACAACATTAAACTGTTTCAAATGTATATAATCTCCGTCAATTAGAGTTTTGTCTTTTTCTAAAATAAAAGCATTACTTCCATCAAAAATTAACATATAAACACTTTGATTTCTTTCAACAGAACCATTAAGTTCCCAAATCTCATTAGACTTCTTGATTGAATTTACATTGTCATGGTAAGAACAGGTGGCACCTGATGCAAATAATGGTAAATACACCGATTTCTGATTAGGTGTGCCAAATGTTTTAACAATGTCAACACATACTGTATGGTTAAATATATCTTTATAGATATTTGAATCAAAATATTCAAAAAGCCTAGTAATCTCTGTTTCACTGAGATTGAGACCTGAAGATGGGTACGGAACATTCATACCAAATAAACCTAGTTGTCCTATTGTGTCAATTTTTGAACAATTGTTGTGGACTTGTTGCATCCTTGATTCCATGTCTTTGTAACGTTCCAAATTAAGTACCTCAGGATAAGTTAGTACCTCTAAATCATACTGTTTAGCATAAATTGTTTTCAAAAAAGGCAAACGTGCTGGCTTTCTTACTATGTCTGGTATGGGAGGAGGTTTTACTTTATCAATATTAAATGACTGACTAGAAGCATACCGAAGAAAACATGAACAGCACATTTTCAAAGATGACGGACCACAACGTCTCATAATATTTATCATGATTTAAATATTGAATTAAGTTAAAAAATATACATATTAATAACAAATAATAGGAAGAAAATAATTTTAAAAGATTTAATAGTTGAATTAAAAATATTTAACATGGTATTATAAATTTATTTGCTTATCAGTTTTTATCCTTATCATATATATGATGGATTTCAAATTAAAAAGAAAAAACCTAAATAATAATTAAATTACTTGTTATAACGAAATAGTTATAATTATGACAAATTTAATGTAACAAATATATATTTTATTACAACCACATAGCCCAATTATTGTACAAATAGTGAAAAATAATATATTCGAGACCACACCAATAAATAGCTGATAATCACATGATAACATTTTAAATTATGTTCAAACGTTAGCCAGTATTAAAATAGTTTAATATTTTTTTAAACTTAGGGCAATGGACTATTCGTTATTATACCATTAATGGTTTTATAAATCTATTAAATGTTTCAATAAATTTTAATATTAATATTCTAGGCTAATCTAGATTTTAGATTTATATTGACACAAACTGCCAATAATTTAGCGAACCTATAAATTTTATATTAAATTTTAGTCGATCTATGACTTAACTAAATAGTTATTTGGTTTTTAAGTTGTAGATTATAAGTACCATTGACATTTTCTATATAGTAAATGCCTGGTAAAAACATTAAAATATGTCAATATATTAAACAATTAAAAAAAATTGTTATAAAACATTAAAATAATAATTATTATAATAACAACAAAAGTAACACAATTTGCGACTACAATTTTTAAATGAAAAGATAGATCGCACAAAAACAAATTATTTTTCTAGTATTATAATATCATTTTTAATTATTATAATAAAAGTATAAAATAATATTTCAGAAATAAAAATAATTAAGTGTTGGAAAAATTGATTTAGCGTACTAAAGTTTTGAATAAATAGATTCATGAACAACCATATCCTTTTCAATATCAGCCAATGTCCTACAACCTATAAAAAAAATAAATTTTTTTAGAGTAACTAAACCTTTACAGTATTTTTGGTAATAATTATTAACTAGTTAAAGTAATTATTCGTTTTAATAGTTGAAAAACTTATTTTGAATTCTTTAGTTTTAAATAGATTATTTCATTATTAGATATACAATGTTTGAAATAACTATTAATTGTAAAGTAATATTTTGTATTAAAATGAAAATTTTTTTGCTCAATCAAAAGAAATGACATGATTAAAGTTTTAATTTAAACTTACAAATAAACAGGTAACAAACCTTATTATTTTATGAGAAAAATATTACAAATGAGATTTAATTAAGTTTAATAAAATGTAAAAAACAGACATTTTTAAAAATCTAAATAAATTTAGTAGTTATTATTACTTATTACAAGTTATAATTACTTATTAAACTATATTACTTAAATTATATTTATTAAATAAAAATAATACACATAAAACATATAATATTTAATGAATTTATTTAAAATTTCTTAGAACAAACCTGTTAATGCCATTGTGTTATCAAATTCATTTATAATAATTTCCAATACATCTTCAACCCCTTTTTGACCGTCATATGTTAAGCCCCATAAAATAGGTTGGGCCAAAAATACCTGAAATTAATAAATATGTATATTTTAGTATACTAATATATATAAGGTGCAACAGATCTAACTGATAACAATCATAATGTTTGATCCAATATTCAATTTCTGTAATTTTTTAATAAATATAAAATACATATGGAGTACCTTACAATGTTGTTATTAATTATTTTTATATGAAAAGTGCTAAAAACTAACTATTTTTAAATTATAAAAATTTTTAATCATTTTTATTGAAACAAATAAATTATTTAATTTTAATGCAGTCTAATAATGAATAAAAAATGAATTACAATGAATTGTTAATTGTATTGAAAGAATTATCGTTTAGACATTATCCACTCAAAGTGCTGGGTTTGGGGGAACCTGGACTTCCACAAAAGTTCCATACATACCAGCATGTCATTTTTTTACCTTATAATTTAATACTAAAATCAATAAAATTTAATAAATTGTAAAATTTATTTTGTAATATACTTGATTATACGTGAGTAATGATGACTATTTCAGCTAGTCTTTGTATGTTGTAAACATGTAATAACTTTGTACAATTTTTAATAAAACAGTTTATTTATTTAAAAGTTGTACGGATAAAGTTCTTATTAGAATGTGGTGGTTCCATGACCCCCGCATTTCTAAATCCATCTGTATATATTCTCTTAAAAATTCATGAACCATAATATATTTCTTTATAAGAAATTCGAAATTTTACTTACCATTTTAGCTCCAAGTGCTAATGCTTTGAAAACATCAGTGCCATGTCTTATACCACAATCAAGATAGACATCAATTCTATGCCCAACTTCTTTAACTATACTTGGTAAAGCTTCAATCTAATTACAAAGTATAAATTTGAAATATTAAAATTAAAAACACAATTTAATAATTTTTCAGCTAGATTTTTCTATTACAATGCACATTAAATGTAGCAGTAACTTTATAGTATTTATAGTATATAATTCTTTATTTTATAATTTGAGATTAGAAAGTATTATGGGAATTTAAGTATTTCTCTTCTTATAATTATTTAATCAAAATATCAAAAATTTCGCTTGTACTAGAATTAAACTGTTTAGATAATTTAAAAAAAGTGAGTTATGGCCTTTTTTATTACACATAGAAATATAGTGCAAATATAATATTAAAGGGCCAATTTTTTAGTTTGCCTAATTTTGAATATTATTAGATGGAAATAATTTCAATTGTTTAAAAGTATAAATATTTTGTTAATAAAATTCTTTATTTTAAGCATTATTGTTTTAAAAAAAAATTGAAATTAAAAAAATATAAGTTTTAGTTTACAATAAAAATTCAATAGAGGTATGAACTATTTTATACATACAGAAGCAGGTGCAGTATCTAGCTGTCTACCACCATGATTTGAAACAAAAACTGCATGGCATCCAATATCAGCAGCTATTTTAGCATCGGCTACACTTAAAATTCCTTTTACAACTATTGGTAGATTTGTTATACTGAAATAAATAAAAATTTAATAATTTGTATAAAAAATATTTTTTCATTTAATTAAAATTACCTTTTAAGCCATTTAACATCCTCCCACACAAGTTTTTCTTCAAATAAACTAGTAACATAGTTTGTTAAACCAGAACCATCACTTTTTGATATAACAGATTTTTCTTCTGTGAAATTACCAAGTCTATCAAATTTAACAACTAATATTATAATGGTATATGTATTAGTTGGACTAATATTGAAAAAAATTACCTTAAATGACTTGGTAAGCTAAAATTATTTTTGATGTCTATGTACCTAATGCCAAATACTGGAGCATCAACTGTTAATACTAGAGCCTTATATCCAGCTCTTTCAGCTCTCCTTATCAATGTCTTTGTCATTTCCCTAAAAATTAGATATTATTCGTTATATTACATACAATTTAAAAATATCAACACTTACTTATCTTTGTAAATGTACAGTTGAAACCATTTAATAGTATCAGGTGCTGCACGTGCCACCTCTTCTATACTACAAGTAGATAATGTTGCATGTATAAATATTGCTCCATGTTTTCCAGCAGCTTAACATGAAGAAATATATTTTAATTCTATATAAAATTAATTCTTTTAAAATACCTTTGGCAGATGCACATTCTCCGTCCTCATGAGCCATTTTATGCATGGCACATGGAGATATACCAATTGGTATTCTTACTCGATTGCCTAAAACGGTGACACTGTAGTCGCGGTTACAGACATTACGTAACATACGGGGGATAATTCGTAATCTTTATTAAAAATTATAATTATTATTCTAATTAATATAAAATTATTATTATTAGGTATCATAAATAAATATCTTAAAATATACCTATTAAATGCCTGCTTATTTTGTGAAAGTGTGTATTCTTCACATGCTCCACTTGTGTAGTAACCGAGAACTGTTTTTGGTAATGTTTTCACTGCATATATTTCATAGTCTTTTACACTTACTAATTTGTTTGACATTTTATTAGAATTTTTTTGACCGAGTTATACATAAAGAAACACCAAATGTTATTTGTCAATTAATATTTTTTTTTACTTATTTATACTATAGTTATTTATCATAGATTTACATAATTAGATTAAACAGAAATTAAAGGTCAACCACGCCTCAAGAAACCTGATAGACTATCAATAACAACAGATGTTTTAGGATTTAAAATTACAAATATTTATAATAAAATTCAAAATTTCTATTTAGGTGTATATTTATTTTTATTCTATATACAGTGTCCTGATTGTTCTTACGAATTCTATAACATTTGATCCATCGACAATTTTTTGTTAGTTTTAAATAACTTTTATATTCTCAACGACGTTAAAAGTATGTTTTTTAACATACTTATAAATAAATGTAACTTATAAGAAAAAAATTAAAATTTATAGTGTTTTAATTACTTTAATATTAAAAAAAGCCATTTTTTAACTTTTTAAATAAAGAAATGTTGATGGGTCAATAGAAAATTTAGTATATGTATTTATTGAGGTACAAGTTTTTTAAAACATTTGATGGGTAGTAACGCTGGTGGTGTATACATTATAAATAAACATAAATGTACATCAGTACGAGCTGTACCTACACGCGTTACATACTCTTTGTATTAAATTGTTTGTATTTTAAAATTTCGAGAAAAAAAAATTATAAAATAATTATTTAAATTTTTTCTTGCTAGAGACAATTACTAAAAAATAGGCTTTAGTATAGTCCAAAACTGTAAAAATTATTTTAAAAAATGTAATTTAAAGAAAAATATTAGCTGGATCACAGTTATTAAAGATATTAGAACATGGTGGAACATTCTGTATAAAATTACTTCTCATAAATATACATTTTTATGATCGGTCAATAAAAATGTTACTTTATTTAATGATGAAACGTTAAAAAACTCGATTAAATTTTATCACTAGGTTTTAGCCAGTAGACTAAATATGAGATAATTTTCATTCGTTAATTAAATTTAAACCATTTTTTAAGAATACACTACGATTGATATCTTGTGATAATGTAATTTATCAAACATAATATGATTTATTAGTTTTAAAAATTCCTTCTGGATCGATATGCAACTTGAGAAGTCAAAATTTAATTTTTATTATGTGCTCTAAAAGAATCTTACTTCTTTGTTAGTACATTAATAATTCAAAATGATGTCCAGAGCATTTTAAAGATTTAACGTGTAAAAGAGTTTATACCAATTGACCAATTTCTTTGTTCGTTTACTCATTTTTCACCGGTTTTTTAAATAAAGACCTTAAAATTATAGAGTTTTTAATAAGTAAGGAAACGGGTTTCTAGTGTTCTCATTGTTTGTAAAAATAGTTGTTTCTTATTTAATGAACACTCTGTATATCTCATCACTATATCTAATTACTGTTCTTATCTGTATTATAATACAAATTAAGGCTCATATTGTTTATTATTAATAAGCAATAAAATAAATATGGTCATAATTAATTATAATATTAAACCTTGAATAAATTTTCCACTATTTTTTAAGGTTATGACACAAATTCATGTTGAATGGTGGATCGCGTTATATCATAATGAATAATGATTTCTTTTATGCATTAGAAGAAATATTGTAAATACTACATTTTGTACTGAAATATTAAGTTGCTATAAAAAATATAGACAGAAGTTTTTTGGGATTTTTCAGTATTTTGAATCAGTTATGATATTGTTTAATACTTTACATTTTTATTCAACTAATCTTCAGAATATTACAATAATTATTGTTGTATTTTAATTAAAATTTTTCTATTTTAATTTATTTTTTGAGTATATTTAACTTATTTTGAATTTAATAAAATGTGTTGAGTTTTTAATGTAATAGTAAATGACATTTGAATTTTTAATATAATTCTATTCGATATAAACATTTAAAGTTACAAATTTTAGAGTTAATGTACATGTATAATACACAATGGATTACAAATACAGGTAGCTAATTGGTTTTTTAAGACGTCGCTGTGACAGTCACGGAGTGTTAATTGTCAATTATGAATATCAATAGATATACTTTCTGTATTGCCAGTTGGTGTATTTCTAAACTCAACAATATGCCTTACTACCATTGATAATTAATGCTGTGTACCTGCGAATATCGTAGTAATAAAATACTAGTTGCAGTATAGTTTCAAGTTGTAATTATACTGTCGGCTGTGAAGTTTTAACTTACAACCTCGGACTCGTATCTGTCACTCCGAGATGAGCAGAGCTCATCTCGTAGTTCTAAACGTCAGCATATAACTTAAGACACAAACAATGTTTGTAAATATTCTAAATAAAAACAAATATCTCATGAATTCGTTGTACCTCATTTATACATTTTTTTCACGACTGAATTGTCACTTATGTTAATAGCTGCTCATTAAGTGCTTATATAGAATTTCTAATTTCGGAAGCCGTAAGAACAGTTATTGAAATGAATGTTCAAGGAATAAGAGGTAGAGGAAGTTTAGGATAAGGGTAGCCGATTCTATGTAGTTGGGATTAGGGCGAGGAAAAAGAAGATAGAATTCCTAATTTATGAGTTTACATTATAGACAAAGTTTTATTTAGACAATTTTCCATTTTATCTCAAACAAATAAAATAATATATTCCCATTTTACTTTTGACAGTTAATCCAAAAATTTACCTTTAAAAAATTTTTTTTTCTTAGAATAAACTTAATGTTAACTAACATTTATAGTAATAAATAAAATTTTGAAAAAAAATTATTATTTAACAAATAATAAAAAAGAGGCTAGTAATCTTATTAAATTATCTGTATAATATATATAAATTCAACATTTGATAAGATAATAAAATAATTTACAAAATTATTGGTAAAATTGTTTTTACATAAAAAAAAAATCAAAGTTTTGAATAAATAGATTCATGAACAACCATATCTCTTTTAATGTCATCTAATGTCCTACAACCTGTAAATAAAATAAAATAAAAATAGTTAGGTTTTGGTATGTAAGTATAATCATATAAATATGCTCTTGCAGAATATCATTCTTTGATTAAACTCTCCAATTGTAATTTTTTAAAACTATTTTAAAGCAATCAAAGTATATCAAAATTAATTTTAAAAATAAACAATACCAAACTTAGAAATCTTTTTTTATTGTTAGAGAATATATATTCTAATATACAAATCCAATTAAATTAGTACATATTCGAAAAAAAAATTGATATGAGTTTTAGAAATAAGTTAGCTTATAAATCTGCTCTAAACTCAAATTAAAATATTTTGACATATCACTGTAATATGATATTAAAATGACACTATAATTTTAATATGGTATAACTTTTTATAACAAAAAAAATTATGAAAATAATTTTATAGTTACATTTATTTATAGATACAATTTCTCAGATCTAATTGACACTTATAACTTTTGATCCAATTATCATTTATTGAAATTCATTTATTTAAAATTATTGCTTTTTTGAACATGTATAAATCACGTTTTTCATTATTTATCATTAGTAAGATAAAGATATATGAATCATTTTTAAGTCTTTTTCTTACAAAACGTTTTAGTGAGTCAATAACAACTTAAAGAAAAGTAATTATTGAATTACCAGCATTTTAATAAGTAGAGTGAATATGAAATGTGGATAAAGTATACATACACCAGTATAGGTGTATTCATTGTACAACATACCTACTTTATGAATTGAAATGCTTGTAAATTGATAAGTATTTGTTCTAAAATAATCATTAATCCAATAAAATGTTTTATACTACAAGTGGTAAAAAAAAGCAATTGTAAAATATTAAAAAAAGTAATTTTTTTTATAGTAATAAATAATAAAAAATATATTATAAATGTAGTCTAAAATGACAATAATTATTTTTAAAAAAATGTCAATAAAATGATAATTGTTTCAAAGGTGTGATACTATCACATATATCTGCTTATATTCTCATTCTTATAACATTGTTGTACAATCGATTAGGCTTATAACATTAACGCAGTGAAACAAGTATTAGTACAAGAGAGCAGACTGAACACATAAATACTTTTGGGATTCACATCTCCCATGCTACAATAAAAATGTCCCAAACGTCAGTTAACTTTTTATCATCACTATTACTCGTATAGCCTAAGACATTAACTTAAATTAGCTAACACCAAGATAGTGTGTATTATCGTTATCTTCATGTTAGATTATTATCATCTCTAGATGTCCAGCAGTTAGTATTGCTTATTTAATATTTAATTACTTTAATAAATATTTACACTGTTATTAACCAAGAATGTTATATTTATGTTGTAGTGTGATCCTTGGTAGGAGTATATTCGTCTAAGGGAATATAAATTAAATAGGAAACCTCAGTATCTAAGGTAGATATAGCCAAACTAGTTATACCCTGTTGGTTGCTTAGAATATGTTGATTAGTATTTAGGCTCAAACCCTAAATAGCCACGTCACAAGTCATAAGCATTGTTAGTTAGATCTGAGACACTGCATAGCATTGAAATGATAATTTACATAAATTTCCAGCAAAATTTTCACCAAAAACTGATAAAAATAAATATTACATATTATATATTTATAATATTATGTTAAAAACTACAATTATACAATAAATGATACATCTCAAAAGTGATTTCATATATTTAATCTTAATATCTTTGTACAAACCTGTTAAAGCCATTGTATTATCAAATTCATTTATAATAATTCCTAAAATATGTTCAGCTCCTTTTAGACCATCATATGTTAAGCCCCACAAAATAGGCCGAGCTAAAAATACCTAATAAAATAAATTTATTTAGTTGTATAGATATTTGTTAAAAAATTTGTTTATCACATACGAGGCAACTTGTTACCAAAATATAAAATTATTCTGGGGAACCTAGATAAATATTTATGTTCAAAAAGGTCATAAGAGATCGATAGTCAAATTTTACAAATTTTTGCAACAAGTCAAATGTAAGTTTTTTTTAGATATTATTGTCTGCGTTATTTAAAACAATTTTATCCACTTAACAATAAGTTTTCCTATGCTATCATTGAGTTTACCATTTTTAATAAGTGTCTGAAATATATAGATGATAAATTTGTATGTTCAAAAGAAAAAGCGTATAACTGCATTCTGAATCTAAGTGGTGGGGACAATTCAAGACTTTTTGGTGGTAATTGACACATAAGAGCATTTTGTGTCTACATAAAATTTACTAAATCTATAATTTTATTCATGACAACTTGCTAAACATGATATCTATACAAAATTTGAAAAACAAAAAATATCATCCTATATCCTAAAGATGTCTTGTAACTTTATTTTTTGAATAGTCCTCGTATACAGAGTGATCGAAATCTGGTAAGATACTTATTTTCTCAGAAACTATTGAGGATTTAAAATTTTTGTAAAAAGAAAAATTATTAAGTTTATAAAACTCTACAATAATATAAAGTTAAATAAATTTTTTTTTATACCTTCAGGGATAAAAATGTTTATTTATAATTTTTTTTATCCGAACAACTGTTTACGTTTTATAATTGTTAAAAGATTTTGACTTCCAGAAAAAATATTGTCATTTATTACGTTTCATAATATCGGTGGCAGTGTAACGGGTATTTTTGTTAGATCCTTTAGTCTTACAAAACCATAGACTTAGCTATTAATAATACACCAAAAAGCCGGTTTGAATCTACTATTGTTATCACTCATTTAGTGCGTAGTAAATTTTTATATCTAATTTACCTGTTATAACTTGATCAATAAAATTTGGTTTATGCAACAGCAAATAAAAATGATGACTTCTGTATTTAATACAGTAAAATGACAATAGAAATTTGGCCTAAAATCGCTTAACTTTAACAAGCTGTAACGGACGAATGGTTAATCAGATAAAAAAAATTATAAGAACAAAATTGTTTGTAATTTTTTTTTCTATCATATTATAAAGTTAAAAATAAGGGTTCCCATTTAAGAAAATTATAAATAAGGGTTTTTATCCTTGAAGGGACGAAAAAAAATAATGGTTTATTGTAAAGTTTTTTGAACTTGATATTTTTTCTCTATAATAATTCTCAATACTTTCTGAGAAAATGAGTATCATACCAGATTTCGATCACCCTGTATATCTTAAAGAAAATTGAATTTTGTCCTCACCATTTTAGCGCCAAGTGCTAATGCTTTGAATACATCAGTTCCATGTCTTATACCACAATCAAGGTAGACATCAATTCTATGCCCAACTTCTTTAACTATACTTGGTAAAGCTTCAATCTAATTAACATTAAAACAATTTGAATTAATTTAAGTTGATTTAACTATTATTAATTGAATAATAATTATGAACAACAACAAAATATATTTTAAATTAACTATAAAGTAGTGATGAATCGAATATTTGAAAGCTATTTGGTATCCAGCTAATTTTTTTAGAATAATATATATTTGGTTATTTGGCATTACTTAAACTATTCATTCGAATTTTATTTGACCAAATAGTTTGAAAAAGCAATAAAATTAATAATAAATTTTTTTGAAAAGCCTATAACTTCTATGTAATGTGGTCCATTTATCATAACATACACAAATAATCGCATAACAAAATCAATATTGATAATAAAATGTTATGACTTTATTGGTTTACTTATATTTTTTTATTTATCTACTACTAATTGCTTTTTAGCACTATCTCTTAATACTTAAAAATATCCCATTGAAAATCTTTGGCTAGTACAAATGTTTTTCATTAGGATAGTTTTGTATACTGTAGTATGCTTTTAGAAATATCCATATTTAGAAAAACAAATTTTTTACCTAAATTTTATTATCTTTTTTTCAGGTTTGTTTACCATTAAGGTAGAAAACTGAAAGTTTGGCTTTTCATTTTGTATAGGAACATTAATAAATGGTACTAAATGTTGAGATCCTCTAAAAGCTTTAACAATATGTTGATGATTAGAAGATCTTAAATAACTAACAATGCTTGAACACCTATATTGCTTAATGACATACTTTTATTGCAAAGTTTACAAATAAAAAATATTTACTACTAGTGTTTTCATCAACCCAATATTTGATTTGTCTTTTAATTTCCATAGTAAGTTAAAATAATATTTTTAGCTCTAGGTATTTTATGCATTTAATTTGTTATAATACTAGTTTATGGAAAATATTAACTTTTTTAACAAGCTGAATAATCAAAAGAAAAAAATATATCACATTTGTAAAAACACCACACTCCACTGTTAAGATAAAAAATTATTCTATTATAAGTAAATGTCTTTCCTAACCTTCACTAACCATTAAAACTGTAGAATGACTATTTTAGGTATTTTAAAACTTATTAAAAAAAATGTTGTTAAGAGTTTTTCAATAAGTTATATTTTAAGTAATTTACCAAAGTAGGGAAAATTCTAGGATATACTTTCATTCAAATTCACAGACTATTTCAGACTTTTCAGAAATAAGATATCCATGTTTAATTAAGAAAATGATGGGTCCATAACAATTTTTGTACCATTAATACAGAAGTTATCATGATTATAAAATTTAGACTAGGGGAGATGTGGATATGACTATTAATATTATTTAACATTTTTTTGTAGCACTCTCCCTCCCACCCACATATAATAATGTTAATAAAATTTGAAGTACTGGTTCAAAATCTTTTCCATTTTATAAGATAGTTAAATATAAAAATTAATTTGATAATCCTGTAGGTTATAATGAATTATGCTAAAAATTAATTACTAGCCTAAAAATAAAAAACCACAGCACAGTGGGGATGTGGCATAGTTGGGTCAAGTATAATAATGTCTGACAGTGATTAAAATCACCATCATAAAAAACGCTTCGATGCAAATCTGTAGATAGTGTTTAATTTTAAAGAATTGGTGGATTATTCCAAAAGGTACATGACCTCCTATTTCCTTATTTATATCCAGATTACAAGTTTTATGATTTATAAGTGTAATATATATATATATATATATATAAAGAGAAGTGGTGTTATTTAAAAAAAAAGTATGTCGAATGAAAAAGGGATATAAATATTTTTTTTCATAAAATAATTGTATTGATCTAAAATTTTTCAACAAGTTATTGCATTCTAAAGTTAAAAATGTAAAACATAAAATAGAGAATTTTCACCCAAAAAAAGCATTTAGTAACTATTTTCATTGTGAAGACAAAATAAAGTCCGAATTTATTTTTTCCATGATAAAGTATATTACATTAGCTTTAATTTAAGATATATATAAAAGTGTCAGACTTTCCGGAACACTTTCAAAATTTAAGTTGAAAAAGTCAATTTTTTGTGAAAAAGTTGTCATTTTGAATCCCCCCCTGTAGGCAGGTAAAAAGTCAGATTTATAAAAAAAATATACCAAATGATAGGTAAAGACATCATGCATCTACAAAAAAAAGAATTATATTGATCCATACATCTTTCGAGAAGTTATAGCATTATAAAGTTAAAAATATAAAAAAGAATTTTTTTACAAAAATCGTATTTTTTTTATTAAGTTTAATGTCTGTTTTCACCATGAAGATAAAATAAAGTCCGAAATTTTTTTTTACCATTATAAAGTATATTACATTAGCTTTAATTTAAGATATATATAAAAGTGTCAGACCTTCCGGAACACTTTCAAAAGTTACGTTGAAAAAGTTCTACTTTCTATATGCATTTTTATGTTTTGAATCCCCCCTGTATTTAGGGAAATGGTCCGATTTAAAAAAACAGTATGTCGAATGAAAGATCTATATAAATACTACTTCTCATAAAAAAATTGTAATGATTCATACATTTTTCAAAAAGTTATAGCATAATAAAGTTAAAAATGGAAAATACAAAATCGAAAATTTTCACACAAAAATAGCATTTGGTAGCCATTTTCACCGTGAAGATAAAATAAAGTCCGAAATTTTTTTTTTCCATGATAAAGTATATTACATTAGCTTTAATTTAAGATATATATAAAAGTGTCAGACTTTCCGGAACATTTTCAAAAGTCAAGTTAAAAAAATTAATTTTTTTGAAAAAGTTGTCATTTTGAATTCTCCCCTATGGGCAGGTAAAGGGTCAGATATAAAAAGAAAATATACCAAATGATAGGTAAAGACATCATGCAACTATAAAAAAAAAAAATTATATTGATTTGGTTATTTTTAAAAAAGTTATGGCAGTTTTAAGTAAAAAAAATTGAAAAAATGTCGAAAATTAGCGATTTTTAAATTTGTAATTTTTTTGGAGATTTCTCCCATTTACGGGGAACGAGGGAAATTTTTTCAATTTTGGAGGATAATTTCTTTGACTAGATACAATTTGTGATCTTATGACGTATCGTTGAAAGAAATCAGTTCGGTCAGAGCTGAGAAAAAGTGGTACCAGACAAAGAAAAAAGCACATAGTAAAACTAATACCTTTACATAGAAGCTAAAAATTGTTTAATTAATAAGAGCCAAACAACTTTTCTCAATAATATATTAATTTTGCAAATATATCTATATATTGGGATATATTATTAAATGGATATTGAATAATTATTATAAAATTAATTAAATAATGTTATAGCAATTGTTGAAAATTCTGATCCAAATAATACTAAATATTTTACACTGAATAATACCACATATTTGAGGCCAAATACCAAAAATAATATTAACTTAAAAATATTCGGTTATTTGGTTTTTCCAAATTTAAAGAAATTTATGACAAGTAAAAAAGAAAGGTTTTACTTAAGGTAAAAAAACTTAAATAGTTACTAATTCTGTTGGACTCTTAATAAAGATATTATATTTTAAGTAGAAATTAGTAGTTATTAAATGAATATTATTGTATTAACAAAAATATAATTAAGTGAAATATAAAAATATATAATTCATGATTCAAGTAAAATCATAAAGCACCCATTAATATTCTTTATTTGAATATTTTTTAACTTAAGATAATTAAAAAAATATAAGTTTTAGTTTACAATAAAAATTCAATAGAGGTATGAACTATTTTATACATACAGAAGCAGGTGCAGTATCTAGCTGTCTACCACCATGATTTGAAACAAAAACTGCATGGCATCCAATATCAGCAGCTATTTTAGCATCGGCTACACTTAAAATTCCTTTTACAACTATTGGTAGATTTGTTATACTGAAATAAATAAAAAGTTAATAATTTGTATAAAAAATATTTTTTCATTTAATTAAAATTACCTTTTAAGCCATTTAACATCCTCCCACACAAGTTTTTCTTCAAATAAACTAGTAACATAGTTTGTTAAACCAGAACCATCACATTTGGGTATAATATATTTTTCTTCGGTAAAATTACCTGGTCTAATCAAATCAAATAAAAAACAGTCATATCTATTTTTGTTTTACTAAATATATTATGTTACATATCATTAAATGAATCGCCTATTTGAGAAACATCATAAGCCCAGTATATCAAATTTTTGGAAAATAATTTGAACCTTTATGGTTGTCTTATACACAGCTATGAAAACGACATGTTTCCTTTATAATACTTTATTCAAAATTATCAATACAATTCTTAGTCTATAACAATTTACCGGGTTTCATTTAATCTTTATATATTTAATTGTTATTTCTTAAATGACTTCAAAAAAAATCATTTTTACCATTAGATAAAACAAAAAACTAACTTTTGAATTCATGTTTATTTATTTATAGTGAAAAAAGTATATTGTTAAAAACAAATTATTTATGTTGTTACTCAAATGACTAAATCAAATGCAAAAGAAACATCATGATTTTTTTTTTATCACCTTATTTTCCATTTGGTCAGGTTTTAGAACACTATGAAAATGTAATTATGTAACTTACTTCAAATAACTAGGTAAGTAGAATTTATTTTTTTCATCTTTGTATCGAATACCCATAACTGGAACATCAACAGTTATTACAAGAGCCTTGTATCCAGCTTTTTCAGCTCGTTTTATTAATGTCTTATTTATTTCTCTTAAAATTAAAAATTACTTGTAACACCAAATACATAATAAACATATCAAACACATACTTATCTTTGTAAATGTATAATTGAAACCATTTAATAGTTTCAGGTGCAGCAAGTGCTACTTCTTCTATGCTACACGTAGATAATGTTGCAAGTATAAATATTGCTCCATGTTTTCCAGCAGCTGAAAGTAGTATTCTTATATATATATTATTCAATGTTTAATATTTTAGTAAAATAAAACAATCAAGAAAAAAATACCTTGAGCAGATGCACATTCTCCATCCTCATGGGCCATTTTATGCATAGAACATGGAGATATACCAATTGGAATTTTCACTTGATTACCTAAGATGGTTAAGTTGTAGTTACGGTTGCAAACATTACGTAACATATTAGGGATGATCCGTAACCTGTAGAAAAAATTTCCTTATCAATAGAAAAAATTATTATTAACCCATAATATTAAATATACCTACTAAACGCCTGTTCATTAAGTGAAAGTGTATATTCATCACAAGCTCCACTTTTATAGAAATCAAGAACTGTTTTTGATAATGTATTAGCTGCATAGTTTTCATAATCTTTTACACTTACAAGTTTTCCAAACATATTACTAAAAAATGTTGTTTGGGAATACCAAAATAAATATTAAATATTATTTGTTAATTAATAAATTATTAAATTTACAGTTAACTCTTTTAGATAATAACATTTATTAGTTTTTTACCTTTACTCGATCGGATCAATAGAAACAAAATATCATAGGTCAATAAGTGTATACTATGATAATAATATTTCTTTGATATTAATTTATCTATAAATAAATTTAATTGTTTATCGTTTATGGTAAGTTTTTCGATACAATTATTTTTATATTTTGTTTTGAAACTCTTATGTATATATAATTAGTCTGTTCATAGTTTAATTTTCACACTAAGTTTATAACCTTTAAATACAATAATATAACATACAAAATAAATATGCACTATCTTTAAATAATTTTCTAAAATGTTGATGTCAATTTAGTTGAGCAATATAAAGGACATAAATTTAAATGTATGTACAAATTATTTTATAATGATAATAACAATAGTAAATTAAAACTACTGACTACACAGAATATAAACAAATTACTTAAATTTTACAGTTTTGTTTTCAATTAATTCTATTCCAATTAATAAAACAAGACAAAAGTATTATACAAACTAATTTGTAATATATAAAAATATAATATTATTAGAAATGTATTATCAACGAATTATTTTATACTAATTGATGAAAATTCTAAATAATTTTTAGATAATTGAAGGATATAAAATAGGTAATTGTTTCGTATATTATAAGGCTTTGTTATAAAGCTAATTAAACTTAGAAGAAAGGAATCATCAATCTCATTTTTAATAGTTTTTCCAGAAATATAACAAAAGAATTCCTACCTTTGAAGTTTTTAAATTTAATACTTGAATTATATTCTTATAACTGGAATGAGCTTGTTTAGTAACATTACAAGAATATAATATACAGAGTTATTCATTTATTATAAACCACTTAATTAATCGAAAAATAAAAATAATAGAAAGAATTTTTGTTTTGATTTCTTTTAGGTACATGTTTTTTTTATTAAATGTGTTTTTAAGTATTTTTATGTTCATTAATTATACCTTATAAGGGTGTTAATTTTCTTTTTTCAAATGACAACATGCAAAATTTATTAACTCATTCAATAGATAATGATCTAATTAAGAAAATGACTGGTCGATAACAAATTTTTGACAACTATTTTAGTAATTTATTTATTTAAATTATTGACATTTTTCTATCTAGACAGTAGGAAGAGAATTGCCGGGAAATGATTAGTGATCAAAATAAAAACATTTACAACTCATAAACAATGTTTATTTTAAATTACTTGTTTTATATAATAAATATATAAGTTGTTATTGACCAATCATTTTCTTAATTAGATCATTATTTATTAAATATACAAGTTAAATATGTATGTTTCCATTTGAAATAATAAAGTTAACACCCTTATAAAGTTAAGGAATAAACATAAAAAATACTTTATAATTGATAAATTGAGAAAGACATGTACTGTTAAATTACTCAATCTTCTCATCTATAATGTTTTGTAAATGTATTAATTTCCATAATATCTTTAAACTTTAGAAGTATAGTTAAATTACTACGATAATACTACAAGCTTAGTGATCCAATATTGCATTACACAATACTACTTTCTCTTTAGATTAAAAGTAAACCTAATTAATTTAGATTTTTCATAGAATCTAATTACCATAGAAGCACGTTTTTTCAGGGTTGTTTTGTAAAAGCAACAAATCAAATAATACAAAATTTACTAGTAATTTGGTTATATCTTTTTTTTATTTCTTTATAAACTTATTTATTTATTGATATTTATAACTTTTTTGAATTAAAATAATATTAATAATTTTTTATTTTTAGCTGCACTATTCTTTCCGCCTATATAAAATGTATAAAAATGTCAATAATCCTGTTAAATCCTTCTCAAAGTCAATATTAATAATATCAAAGTTTAAAGTGATTAACTCAAAACTTAATCAAATAAATAAATGTGTTAAACACTTGTTTGCTTTTGAACTGAATAATAAAAGATTAAAATGTGATAATATTGAAAGAGTGAATTGGTAAAAGTGAGAGTTACTTTCATTCGGGGAGTGATTTGAGGATCATAATTTAATATAAGTATTAATTCTTATTGATTTGAAATCTTACTTGATAATTTTTCTTAGTCATTAAAATGACTTCAGTAATAGTATTAATTAATAATTGATAATTAACACAAATTCGATTTTTAGATCACAAATTTAACACATAAGAATACGTCATTGATGATCATAATTTTTATGTAGCAATGTCAAGTGCGCGATTAGAACATACCAGACTGTAAGGGTTTGTTCTACCTGTGGTAATATTTTGTATCCTTGGAAATCATCATTATCCTATTTTTACAATGTTATTGTTTATTGATAAGTAAGCATAAAATACATAAATTATTATAGATAAATAATATACAAATCACTTTGACATTTTATATAATGTTAATACAGTTTTTTATAGTTAAGATTAGAGTTGATACAATGCGTTTAATTACTGAGATTAGAATAAAAAATATTAAGACAAATATAATTTATAGATTTCTTCTCGGTAATTATGTGATTTTAAAAGTGCCTAATAATTTATTTATGACTGATTCGTGTGTAATATAATATAATTATACAACAGTATGCGTTTGCTAAATGTTAATTATTTAAATATTTGTTAAAGTTATTAATTTTATTTGTTTGAAAAGATTCATGTTCTTCTAAGAATATGAATATAATGTATAATGAAAGTGTTGATTATCTTAAACAAAACGATTAAATAAAAAGACTAGTATTGTGGTCATAAATAAGGTACCCTACTTCTATTCCATATTATGATAGTGACAAGTACATTATACAAAGGAAAAAGAATTGTGTATGCAAATTATAGTTAATCATATTTTGACACTAAAAACTAAGTAGTTAAATTATCGATTGTATACTATTAACTAAATTATAACTTTTATTAAAATATTGAATCTTAAAGTGTCTGTGTAACAATAATAAAAAACCAATTAATATTATACATTAGTGTCAAATTATATTTGGTAAAGTAAACAATCTACTAACCTTTTTTTCGACTTCTTCAACAAACCCAACCACAGGGTTGGGTTTGTTGCCCACTTGGATAAGACTACTTAAGAATTCGTACCTCTACGAAATCAGTCGAGCGGAATTCAGCACTAAAAAAAATTATAACGTATTTCATAGTTTGGTAGTACAAATATTGATATAATTGATGTTGTTATTTTTTTAAATTTCATTGTTATCAAAATTATAAATTTTGAATAATATATTAAAAAGAGTTGCATTTTACAGGATAATCATAGACATCTAAATGTATTTTTATACATATACAGATAACGATAATGAATGTAATTTTTGTTTTTCATTAATATTCCTATGTTAGAAATATTTACGTGGCAAGATGTGGGCGAGTAATGCTATCTGTGGGTCATACCTCTTTTTAGTAATCCGAAACATTTTAGTCTAATGTAAGTATGATTCCACGTAGATAGGAAGTATTCAGATTTTAAAGAAGTATTAAAATGATAGGTTATAGGAGGAGAGAGGATAAATCTACAAGTACATATATAAATTATACTATATGTATATAAAAACTTACATATAAGTGGATATACAATCAGGTCCAATGATATTATTGTTATTAAGATTATCAAGTTCATTAAAGACATCTTTATGTTTATAAAAAAATTATTAATAATTACCTAGGATTTGTCGTAAACCAAAAAATAAAGTAATGAGAAGGGGTATTAAAATAAAGAACTATCCTTTTTCTCGGGTTGTGTTGTACGAGGGTCTATGTTTGTTAGCATTAATTTATAAGCTGAGTTTGAATGTTCTTACCTGAGTTTTAACTATCTTTCAGACGTGCAGAATAGTGATAAAAAAGAACGCAAAGCCAAACAGTTGTTGATGAAAAAATAATATAATTAATGTAACTTCACATATATTTATATAAAACAATTGTAATAATCACGCGAAGTTTACGGAGAGATATTATTCTTAATTAATAAACACAACCTTAAATATTTATTATTTATTATTTATAATATAAATATATTATTCTGCGGTGTTAAATTAATTTAGCTTGCGAGAACCAGACGATGAAAGCGACGTGTTTGTATGTCGGTTTTATAGAAACAGCTAAATAACTGGGTCTCTCCTGGTGTTCTTCTTAAAACCCCTTCCAGAGACGCACATATGTATCGTCCGGTTTTAATTTGCTTCAGATTTTTTAGGAATTTCATGATTTTGTATATACATTGAAAAAGGGTTCTTTAACTGAAAATAATAAATGGAAGCATTTGATTTTTGAAGGGTGCACGTGCGATGAAAAAGAAGAGCGGATGACTATGGCGTGATTGTGTCAACTTTGTGTTGGATGTTATTAAGAACAGAAAATATTGATTGTGTATAGTATTTGTTGTGAGAAGTATTGTGTAATAGGATAGAATATTTGTTTGTGTTGAGAGATGAAAGAGGAGAGAAAGAAATAGTGTTTTTAAGTATAGGGTCTATTACAACAGATTTAATACAGGACTTGTAAAATGTCGTAAATAGATTTTTTTATTATGGAACTTAAAATAACGATTAAATCAACAATGCTATGGCCATCATCGTTATGATTCATGACTAAAAGTTGAAGATTTTGGAAGACCAGCTTTTTAGGGTTTTTTTTTTATTTTTATAATAAAATTATTTGTGCTAATTTATCAATGTATTTCAACACCACTGTGTGAATTTTAAAGTGATAACAGCGAGATATTAAAGGGGTTTGCCAAGGTATTTGATAGTTAGTCAAAATATATCTGTGTATGTGTGTGGTTTGGCAACACTATTATTAATTCTACTTTCTCAAGACTTATTTAAGTATTTTATATGATCGATTTTTTTTGCATACGTAAAAAGCAATCTATTAAAATAAAGTAAATGAAAGCTGTGGACGGACGACTTGTACAACTAAAGGCGATGAGTGGAAGAAGTGAAATCATGGATAAAAGCACAATGGAAGACACCAATGGTGGTTTTGAAATATTCATATGGAGTATATTAAAAACATTGAAAGTTACCAAAGAAAAAAAAATATTACATTACAAGCTGAAACTTACATTCTTAATAAATTTCCAAAGTAGCTTGGGATTAGATTTAAATATATTATAATATTAAATCANTATTTATATAAAACAATTGTAATAATCACGCGAAGTTTACGGAGAGATATTATTCTTAATTAATAAACACAACCTTAAATATTTATTATTTATTATTTATAATATAAATATATTATTCTGCGGTGTTAAATTAATTTAGCTTGCGAGAACCAGACGATGAAAGCGACGTGTTTGTATGTCGGTTTTATAGAAACAGCTAAATAACTGGGTCTCTCCTGGTGTTCTTCTTAAAACCCCTTCCAGAGACGCACATATGTATCGTCCGGTTTTAATTTGCTTCAGATTTTTTAGGAATTTCATGATTTTGTATATACATTGAAAAAGGGTTCTTTAACTGAAAATAATAAATGGAAGCATTTGATTTTTGAAGGGTGCACGTGCGATGAAAAAGAAGAGCGGATGACTATGGCGTGATTGTGTCAACTTTGTGTTGGATGTTATTAAGAACAGAAAATATTGATTGTGTATAGTATTTGTTGTGAGAAGTATTGTGTAATAGGATAGAATATTTGTTTGTGTTGAGAGATGAAAGAGGAGAGAAAGAAATAGTGTTTTTAAGTATAGGGTCTATTACAACAGATTTAATACAGGACTTGTAAAATGTCGTAAATAGATTTTTTTATTATGGAACTTAAAATAACGATTAAATCAACAATGCTATGGCCATCATCGTTATGATTCATGACTAAAAGTTGAAGATTTTGGAAGACCAGCTTTTTAGGGTTTTTTTTTTATTTTTATAATAAAATTATTTGTGCTAATTTATCAATGTATTTCAACACCACTGTGTGAATTTTAAAGTGATAACAGCGAGATATTAAAGGGGTTTGCCAAGGTATTTGATAGTTAGTCAAAATATATCTGTGTATGTGTGTGGTTTGGCAACACTATTATTAATTCTACTTTCTCAAGACTTATTTAAGTATTTTATATGATCGATTTTTTTTGCATACGTAAAAAGCAATCTATTAAAATAAAGTAAATGAAAGCTGTGGACGGACGACTTGTACAACTAAAGGCGATGAGTGGAAGAAGTGAAATCATGGATAAAAGCACAATGGAAGACACCAATGGTGGTTTTGAAATATTCATATGGAGTATATTAAAAACATTGAAAGTTACCAAAGAAAAAAAAATATTACATTACAAGCTGAAACTTACATTCTTAATAAATTTCCAAAGTAGCTTGGGATTAGATTTAAATATATTATAATATTAAATCAATATAAATACCTCTTTGAATTTTATCTATATTGAAAGTGCATTTTGTACCCGTTAGAATATATCAAAACATAGTTGACATTTATCATGGATCGAAATGTCAGTAAATGAAAATAGTACTTTGGAAGGGTAGTTTAAAGGTGTGTAAGGCTGTTGTTTACAAAAATTATGAATTGGTATNGTATAGTATTTGTTGTGAGAAGTATTGTGTAATAGGATAGAATATTTGTTTGTGTTGAGAGATGAAAGAGGAGAGAAAGAAATAGTGTTTTTAAGTATAGGGTCTATTACAACAGATTTAATACAGGACTTGTAAAATGTCGTAAATAGATTTTTTTATTAGTGAACGTAAAATAACGATTAAATCAACAATGCTATGACCATCATCGTTATGATTCATGATTAAAAGTTGAAGATTTTGGAAGACCAGCTTTTTAGGGTATTTTTTTTTTATTTTTATAATAAAATTATTTGTGCTAATTTATCAATGTATTTCAACACCACTGTGTGAATTTTAAAATGATAACAGCGAGATATTAAAGGGGATTTCCAAGGTATTTGATAGTTAGTCAAAATATATCTGTGTGTGTGTGGTTTGGCAACACCATTACTAATTCTACTCTCTCAAAACTTATTTAAGTATTTTATATGATCGATTTTTTTGCATACGTATAAAGCAATCTATTAAAATAAAGTAAATGAAAGCTGTGGACGGACGACTTGTACAACTAAAGGCAATGAGTGGAAGAAGTCAAATCATGGATAAAAGCAGNCTTGTACAACTAAAGGCAATGAGTGGAAGAAGTGAAATCATGGATAAAAGCACAATGGAAGACACCAATGGTGGTTTTGAAATATTCATATGGAGTATATTAAAAACATTGAAAGTTACCAAAGAAAAAAAAATATTACATTACAAGCTGAAACTTACATTCTTAATAAATTTCCAAAGTAGCTTGGGATTAGATTTAAATATATTATAATATTAAATCAATATAAATACCTCTTTGAATTTTATCTATATTGAAAGTGCATTTTGTACCCGTTAGAATATATCAAAACATAGTTGACATTTATCATGGATCGAAATGTCAGTAAATGAAAATAGTACTTTGGAAGGGTAGTTTAAAGGTGTGTAAGGCTGTTGTTTACAAAAATTATGAATTGGTATCACGGGGTTTTGGTTATATGAGCTTTATGTTTATTTGCTATTGTTGTTTCGTTTTTATTATTGAAAAAATATAATCGGAACTAATTTTTTTACTTATTATTTTGAGTTAAACATTTAACCTTTTCAAAATCATTTGTTAGAATACTAAAAGATTTTGCTATATTAGGGAAAACCTTTATTACTTTATTGTTACAATGATTACAATAACACATAAAGCAATAAATAAATATAACGTACTCGATTTAGACTTTTATGAAATATCTGTGTATTACATTAGAAAACCTATTCTCTATTGATTAAAAATATTTAACAAAGTAAATTATTTATTTTAGCTTAATGAAGACTAAAAATAATTAATAACTTTCAATGAACATAGTGGTATTTTTAATTATTTAAGTCCTAACGATGGAGTCCGCATTATTGTTTTATTATACTTGTGTAATTTTTAATTTAATAACAGTAATTAATTAAGATTTTAACTTATCTTTTGATATTAAAATTATTAAGATGATTTATTTAAGATTTTTATTTTTAATTTTAAATTTATTATACTTGTNTTTTGAAATATTCATATGGAGTATATTAAAAACATTGAAAGTTACCAAAGAAAAAAAAATATTACATTACAAGCTGAAACTTATATTCTTAATAAATTTCCAAAGTAGCTTGGAATTAGATTTAAATATATTATAATATAAAATCGATATAAATACCTCTTTGAATTTTATCTATATTGAAAGTGCATTTTGTACCCGTTAGAATATATCAAAACATAGTTGACATTTATCATGGATCGAAATGTCAGTAAATGAAAATAGTACTTTGAAGGGTAGTTTAAAGGTGTGTAAGACTGTTGTTTACAAAAATTATGAATTGGTAGCACGGGGTTTTGGTTATATGAGCTTTATGTTTATTTGCTATTGTTGTTTCGTTTTTATTATTGAAAAAATATAATCGGAACTAATTTTTTTACTTATTATTTTGAGTTAAACATTTAACCTTTTCAAAATCATTTGTTAGAATACTAAAAGATTTTGCTATATTAGGGAAAACCTTTATTACTTTATTGTTACAATGATTACAATAACACATAAAGCAATAAATAAATATAACGTACTCGATTTAGACTTTTATGAAATATCTGTGTATTACATTAGAAAACCTATTCTCTATTGATTAAAAATATTTAACAAAGTAAATTATTTATTTTAGCTTAATGAAGACTAAAAATAATTAATAACTTTCAATGAACATAGTGGTATTTTTAATTATTTAAGTCCTAACGATGGAGTCCGCATTATTGTTTTATTATACTTGTGTAATTTTTAATTTAATAACAGTAATTAATTAAGATTTTAACTTATCTTTTGATATTAAAATTATTAAGATGATTTATTTAAGATTTTTATTTTTAATTTTAAATTTATTATACTTGTAATTTTAAAAATGATTTACGTATGTGTGCGTTTAGAAAAAATCTATTATAACTTATAATATATTTAAAAGAATTTTTCAATAGTAAAATTATAATAATAAATTATTTTAATGTAGTTTTGAATTTTGACATTATTATTAATTATTAAAACAATGTTAATAATATTAAATTTATAGGCATGAGTAGGAGTTGCTATAATTGCTTCATTAACAACTTTAACAGCAAATGATTGATCCGAATTTTGAAAAACGACTTTTGTTGATAATTATAGTTTAAGAGCACTAGATTAAGTCGAATTTGCATCTTTTTGTCGTCTAATTTTTTTATTGTAATCATCAAACAATTTTGTTGTGTGCATTCTCTAACAACCAAGAGCAATTTTATCTAATATTTCATTTAATACTGGCTCTAGAACTTTAAGCTTTAAATATAACCTTAAACTGAATTTATTAAAAAAATTCATTCAAGTAAGTTTTGGATCTATTACATTGATTTTTGTTCCATTGTTTGGTACAACTAATTTGTATACTATAAAATGAGGTAGAAATGTGTATTTGAAAATAAAAATTTCATCCAATAAAAATCTGTGTAATTTAAAATTTGTATAAAATTTCAAATGAAAAATATATCCGAATGTTACATTTTGAATATTAGTTGGTTTTTATTGATACCTTTCATAGAAATTTTTTTAATGAAAAATGAGCGGACTTCATTATGATGTATAGATATTACTATACAAAAGGCTTGTGTGTAAATTGGTCACATTGTCTTAAGAATTTTTACATTGTGCTACTATTTTATACATAAAGGCCAATTATTGTCCAGCTTTTCTATACCCATACCCTAAAAGTATATTTTTTGTAGTTTATATAATACACATACGAATGAAACAAAAAGAACAACTATTGATCCATCCTAAAGCACAGAAGATTTTCCTTTCGTCTGATAATATATTATGCAAGAAATAGGTTCACCTTGTTTTCTTTTATTTTTTTTTTTTGCGAAAAAAAGTTGGACTAAATTTATTGTTTGACAAAGAAAAAAAAAGAATGCTATATATATTAACACGGTACATTTGCTACTGTATTATGTAAATGTCTGGCAGAAACCCAGCCGGTTTGTTTCGTTCTTTTTGTATAACCATCGATCGTATTTAATGCAGTTTAAGTAATTTTGTTATTATACCAAGTTGATGGAAAAATGTATATGATGAAGACCACGAAAAAAAACCATGACGCTTAAACCTATAGAGTTGAAATAATTTCAGAAAGTGAGGTTCGCTACCACCGACATGTAAAAAAAACAACAATAAAATCAAGCTAAAAGCTAACGCTCATTTTATTAAATTTAACTATATTCATTAATTTGACAATAAACTGGCGGCAGTCGCGAATAAAATAAGTTTTTATAAATAAAATATGAGGTATTTATTTCATAAATATTATGGCATATTGTTATAAATTATAGTTATATATGAACATTCGAACACAAAGATAATACCGATATAGGTAAGATTATTGACTAATATATTCTGAATTTGACGGTTTTCCAAAGGAATGTTATTTTTTTTTATTGAAATTTTATACGTAGCTGATGACATCACAGCAATCTCACTTGGATATTAGTATTCACACAGGCCATTTGTAACCTCTAGCAGTATAAATAAATTATAGATAAACATACGTATAAGAGTATCACGATAACTTTGTTATAAAATGTTGATATCAACTCTGCCGTGTTTCATTATTTATTCCTTCAGAGCTGAATAAAGAACACGTTTCTACTAAAATATAGGAATCTTTGGTCACTATTTGTTACTTCTCAGTTATGTACAACTTACGTTTATTTATAACTCAAAATTATAGTCAAAAATGAGTATAACAATTATAATTACCGCTAGTTGGTAATACACGTATGCATCAGTATTGCATAAACAAATCGCCGTTTGTAATTAATAAAATAACAGTGTATTCAATATTCAAATATTTTTTTTTCTTATTTTTTTAGCCCATTGAAAACACTATTTCATTATTCTGCAATGTTATAAAAGTGTTATCTTAAAAATAACCATAAACATGGTTAATATTTTTTGGAAAGTAGTGATAATGTATGAAATTGTCGAATTACTTTTTACTATTCTCTGTTAAGTAAGAATGTTAATTTCATATTACATTATAAGATCAACTACGTACGACACTTATTTACTGGAAACTGTTGTCATGTTTTCCAAACAAGTTTCTACTTTTGTGAGGAAAAATCATATGCTCAATTTTAAAACTCCCCATGACTATATAAAATAATGATTGCAAACAACTTATAGATAAGAATAATTTTAATTAATTTGTATAAGTATTTTATTGATTTATTAAAAAATGTTGTTTTATAATATTTTCTATCGTAGCATAGATACTTTTGTTTTTATAATACGTGGTTAAGTAAATTATAGTGTAAACAAATAGAACGACATTTTGGAAAAGATTTAATAAATAATTCGTAAAAATGGCCGAAGAAAGTAGACAAGGAGAATTAAATAATGCGACCACAGTTAAAGCGCCAACCGGTTTAGTTTTAATGTGCAAATTGCTCGGTTCAAGGGATTTAATTAATTTAGAATCAGAATGGCATAATTGTCTTATTACAATTCCATTTAAAGTTAGCGATGCGTTGACTGTACCATATGGTAGAGCAGATATACCCTACTTAAATCGTCTCCTATACAATTCTGATTGGATCGTGGTCTCAAAGGCTTTGCATACTTTAGTTGAAAAGGTACATGACGCGTTTAAAGCCATGGACTTAATAAGGTACAAGTAGTGTTCTAGACAAATACTGAATTTCCAATAGCAATAACTGTTAAATAATTTATTAAATATCTAGTTAATTAGATTTGTATTTGAAAGCGCACGTGTTTAACCCGTAAATGGTATGGTGAAAAAACCTATTTTTTTAATCTTTATTTGTCTGTAGAATTTTAAAAATGCATTTCACGAATTCGGAACATTAACATAAATCGTAGGAGACTAATGTATATCAGTTGAAAAATTAATAAATACTAATTTTCGGGTAATCATACATGCTAATGGTTCATAAGAGAAACAATTACGTATAACGCGGTGTGATATATTATTGTGGATATTTGAAAAAGTTATACATTTAAAAAAAAAGAAAGCAGCGATATCCTACTCCGGACTGTACCGGTTACCGGTTAATTACTTTAACGAATCGATAATCTTACGGATTTGCGTTTTAACGAAAGTAAATAATGTTTTGTTTTAATTTAAACAGGTTAAGAGTGTTGGACGCATTCGTGACGCTCATGCGTCACAAGGAGCCATTCATTCGTCAACGATGTTGTATAGTAATTAAAATACTAAGCGGTCAGCCGTTGGGCAAAGTCACTATAATGATGAATGTAAACTTGGTGGAGATGATGCTGAAAGGATTGTCGGATGAAGATTATCGAGTTCGGTTCCACTGTGCAGCGTCTGCGTTGGCATTAGCGGATCAGAGGGTCGGAAATGAAGCCATGGCCGAGTGTGGGTTTTTGGAGCGAGTGCTGCAGAGAGTGTACGAGGAACAAGATAGTAGGATCATACCGCTGTTGTTGAGAACCATAAGTCGTCTAATGGCCACCAACGATTCAGTCCGAAAGAAAATCACACAAAGAGATTTACAACTATTCTTGTCGATGAATCAAAAGACCGAGGTAACGAAGATTTTGGCTGAAACTTTTGATGGCGATTGGCTAGCAAGCCGTGGTATTCTCGAATATCTGAAATGCGGCATGAGATCTCATAGTTACGAAGTGGTCCTTAACTGTGTGATGTGTATGTTGAGGGCGGCAACAGTGCTGGAATCAAAGATTTTTTTAGCCGAAAGTAATACAATGAATTTACTCGTGACATTTGCACTGGCACCAAGTATGAAAGGTCGAGCTTTGAAAGAGTTTGCGCTTCAATTGTTATGTATCCTAGTGGAAACTACTTACGGCCGTAAATACATTATGGGACAGAAAATATTGTTCGACGAGCTCAGTAAAAATAGCGAACCGTCGTGTCAATCATATATTAAAAAATTTAAAGATATTTTACGAGCACAGTATTAAAAAAAAAACGTTGATTAACTCGCGCTTATTAAATAGTTCTTTTTGTTAAAAACACTACTTATTGAGTTATAATAACAACAAAATGATTAATCAAACTTATAATTCTGTATCGATTATGTAATAATTATAACACGATTTTTCTCTAAAAGAGTAACTTATTTTTACTCGATTAATATTATTAATATTAACATTTTTCTTATACCCATAATATTTTTAATAAAATTGGAATGTTTTAGAATCTGATGGTTAATAAAGCGCGGCGCATTTTGTTCGGATCCCGGTCAAGGGCGACTGTTTTATTGAGTGTCAGATCATTCTAACAAAAAGCATTATTAATTCTTTTTTTCTATGGTGCAGTATCTATCTCTGCAATAATNTTCTATGGTGCAGTATCTATCTCTGCAGTTATATTCTCAAGTAAAGAAATATCTGACTAAATTCTGATGGTTTAATTTGACTATACAAACTTTTAAAAATTCTCTTTATTGTGTAAAACTATTTAATTACAATGATTTATTTTTGTCACGGTTGAACTCTTGAAAATTATTTATTTTGTTTTTATGACAATTAAAACGTAATGGATTTATAATGTTTTCCGTTTTGCGGTATTTAAACAATGACAATTTGTTATCTCAGATTATGATAAAAAAGATAAGTAAAAGTAATATTTAATTACCAATATTGTTAGCTTGGTAGACGATTTATGTTCTGATTATTTTCGTTTTAACATTTACGTTGTCATCAACTAAACTATGTTGTCAACGGATATGAAAAATGTATACTTTTATTATGCATGTACATAACCATTAAGTTTTACTTGGAGAGCTCCGCTTTTCTTTTTTAAACTGTCACAAGTTTGGAAAGAACTTTCCATAAGATGGTAAAGAGAAATTAATCAATTCATATTTTTAACAAATAATAAAACTCATTTTAGTATTTAAAAGAAACTAATTATTTATTTTCTAATTTTTTTCTCATTTCTTTTAAATTTGATTAAACATAGTACACGTCTATTTTTTAATTTTTCGGAGTAGTGTTTAGAGTACTTTAATACAATTTAAATACAAAATGTTCTTTATTATAAATTATTGTTCAGATCAGTAATAATTATTGTAAATGTTGTACAACTAAAAATACGTCCTTTTTTCTAAAATATAACATTTAACTAATGACATTTTTGTAGCTTTAATTCTGGAAAAAACTAACGTTATTTGTTCTCTTTTGTTATCTCGACTGTAACAGTAATTTAATTTTTTTATGTGTAAGAAAGGAATCATGCATATTCGTAAGTTTTGCTATGCTTACTGTTTTTACCATAGTTTAAAAAATGGTGTAACGTGAGAAAACGTTTTTATTTCATTTGCTACTTTTATTCTTAATTAAATCTTATATAAAATGTAAGTCACAAAATATTTTAAATAACAAATTTGGTGACAAAAATATAGCCTTGTAAATTTTTGTTGTTGTCGATTAAGNGTGACAAAAATGTAGCCTTGTAAATTTTTTTTGTTGTCGATTAAGATAAGATATCGAATTATCTTATCAAAATAATTGAGTTGAATCATTTTCTATTGTTCATAATATTTTTTTTTTGGCTATTCAAATATTCAATATTCATATTGAAAATTATTACTCAGTTGAAATTTTTCAAAATAACCTCCGATAGAGTAAGTGTTTTTGAATAAATAATTGAAAGGTATAATTGTTAGTATAAAATCAATTTTGTTTAATATCGACTGTCTTTTGTAATTAAAGATGTTTTCGTCTCTTAGTAGAAACGCTCTTTGTAATTGAGTGGAAACACCACCAGAACATTGGAATCATCTTATTATACGAATTCTAGCAATTAGTAGGTAAACAAACTTAGTTTGATTATCAGTAGTTGATTTTCTTATGTACATAGGTGTTTGTAATTATTCTAGTATTCTGTTATAAGTTAATTATGACTGATCTAATGGAGGATAACCCTATCTCTAGTACTTAATCGTATGGTTAAAATAAAATATCGTTTGCCAACAGTTAAATGAAATTTTGAAAAATTAAAAAACATATGTTTATAACTTTGATTTAAATTAAAAAAATTTAATCCTTAACGAATTGAATTGTCAATAAAATATTTATTATTTTTAAATAATATCATATAGAACATTATACAGGGTGATTTTTTTATCATAACCCACTCAATTACTTGCAGAATAATAATAATTTAAAAATTTATAGTTAAATAGTTAAAAATTCAAGAATAATGTGTAACTAAAGATAATGAAAAAAAAAAATTTTTAAATTATTATTATTCTGCAAGTAATTGAGTGGGTTATGATAAAAAAATCACCCTGTATAACGTTTTCGTTTATAAATCAATAAGTGTAATATGCATAGTTAATAGAAGTACTTAACTAAATTCGAGTGATATATTATGCTAATATGTTAACATGTGTTTACCTTTCTTTTTACTCGAAATAAGTAAAAAATTGTTTATTGTAATAATATTCTTAATAGAATAATACTCTTTATGACGGAATTAAATTTTAATTACAATTAATAAACATTAACAGTTCTACATATATATGACAATAAATATAATATACAAGTATTAATTACATGAAATTATAATATTTTAATGAAAAGTGAAATCAATTAATATATTTAAATATTCGCCTTAAAGTAAATTGAAAACTAACTTTACATATAATACTTTTAAAATTAAGAAACATCTTATAATAAATCAATATTTTTTACAGTATTCCCAACAGCCTTTAAAATATTTACATAACTAAACAATAACATATTTCGTATAACATATATCTAGAATTAATATTTAATAAATAAAAAGTAAATTTATTTCTAGAACTAATTGGAATAACTTCGATATTAATTTGCTTAAGAAATTTTGGGCAATCAATTAAATTATGCATGTAGTATGGTTGATATGAAACTCTTAATTAACTCCTGAAACAGACACGCATCAATATAATATAAAAAATAGACATTCTGCCAATTAACTCCGTACAAACATTACTGATTTATTAAATTCACTTAGTATATATTTTTTATTGGTGATAATCACTTGATTTTTCTTTGCCCCTACTTAAACTACGTACTCATAAAATTTAATTTTAAATATTACATATTTTTAGTAAAATTATTATTTTCCTATCTTGATATTTTCAATAAATACTCTGAAATAAATAAATGTTTCTCTTTCTTATGAAATTGCAATATGGACGCGACGGATCACATTTTGCGCGTACCTTTTTGAGTGACTGACCGCATCTGAGCGCGACTAACCGAGTGAGAGCATTCTGACCACCATCTGAGTAACATCTGAGCCAGTATGTTCATTCCTTTGGGTTTTTTTATATTAAGTTTGATGGTATTTTTAAAGACAAGAAGCAATCACCGACGCTACCATTATTTCTTTATTAATAGTTTTGTATTGATTTATTACATTTTCGTCAATAATCATCTACATTTCATAGTGTTCTGCCGTTCTTTCCATAATATTTTACACATTCTTTATAACCTTATGTCTAAAACATTACTATTACATATTGTGTATTATCTTTCGATTTTTTTAAACAATTAATATATGTTTTTTTATACAAAATTACATTGGTGTAATTTAAACACTCAAAAGTATATACTATTCAATATTCATAAGTATGTGGTTTTTATTATATTTTAATGCATGTCGTGTTAATTGATTTATCAATTAAAATCTTAAATAGTATATTATAACAATAATGATATGATGTGTATATCATAACAGTGTAAAAATTTTAAGTTTTTCGTAAAGCATCTATTTTTAAAGTAATAACTTTTAAAATAACACTAATATTATTATACTTTGAATGAGCATATCGCGTATGGAGTCGGTGCCATCTCCTTCAACACTCCAAACACTAGTTCACGTACCATTCTTGTGGTAATTGTTTTAAGACACGGATTTTATTGTGTATACACATGGAAAAAACTCACAAATGTTGGAACAAACACTTTCTATTGCGGCGCTTGCTGTCAAATTTATGACAGTTTTGTAGAATAACAAGACCATTAGAGTTTAAAGCTCTGTATAAGTGCCTTACGTTAGAGATACACCTCATGTGAAAGACGTTAAATTAAAGGTCACGGTGTCAAAGAAAACTAAAATTAATCGCAGCTCTAGTATAGATTAAAAACAACTCAAAAATTGACTCTAAAAGGATTGACGACGCAGAAGTCGTTAACTCCTCTGATCTTTTAGGCTAATCAAATATGAAGCTCAATTATCTCAAGTCAGAACCGTTTCAATTTGTACCACCGCCGTACATTAAAACTATTGATTGCCGTTCATGTGGTGAAAAGTTTGACAGAATGAAGCCCTTCAGCAACATTTGTGTATCGTGCTTGAATTTTGCAGTAAAAATATGTTCGTTTACTCAAAAATCACCAAAGTCATCATTAAAGATCAAGATAAATCTTGATTTTTGTTTTGAATTAGAATAATTCATTTTTTTCTTTTTGAGTACTTAATAATGTATGCATTTTTTGGTTTAAAATTCTGTTGATTTTCATTAGGTAATTTAAATGTTCTAATTAGATATTTTTGTAAATTTTACCTACATAGATTATTTGAACAATAACTTCAATTATTTATTTTGTCTTAGGTATAAATAATTTTATTTAACAAATGTAATTTCAATGTTTTTTACATTAATAAAAACTTATTTTTGTTATTGTAGGATTGTGCTGTAATTTTTTTTTTCATTATAATTTTACAACTTTTTTGTGTAATAAGTAACAAAAATAACTTGCTGCAATTAGTAGTGTGTAAAAGTTTATAAATGTTAAAAATAAATTAAGTTGTATAACTCAATGGATTTAGTTATGAAGTGTGTTTAAATTTCCATGGTAATGAACTAGCTACATATTTTTTTAAACTTAATTTTACATATTTGTCAGTTTAATTAATTTAAAATAAATAAAAGTGTTACAATCATTGAACGATCCTATTGTGCTAAGCTGTAGAGGAAATCAAGAACTCTAGCATAATAATATTGGGTTGTGGGATATGATATCCCACCTTAATAGAAATATTTGATGGTGAAAGTATAATTACTTTTTCGTTTGAGGAGTTA